AGGATGAGAGAGAGACACAGAAACAGTAACCAAAGCAGACGTCAGACGCCCCTGTGTGGAGAGTGATGAGTGATACCTGCATACCTAAACCCAGACTGACTGCACCGTAGACCACACTCCATCCCAAACCCCCACAGTTCAATAACACCATCAATTCTTACTTTAACACTTTTAATAGAAAACAAAGAAACAAATACAAAAAAAACTCTGCAGCATATTTACAGCCAAAGTGTTCGTCGACATTGTGGATATTATTGTGCCTTACACAAAATTGAACGTTAATCAAGTATCTTCTTAAATATAATATTCTATCTGCATTTATTGCATGTTTACCTAACGCAGTGTTACTCACAGGACAGGGAAGAATACAGCTGTGCAAACAGGCCACTGTACCAGTGAGGGGAAATTGACCTCACTGTACACATCCCACATTGGCTGGGTTTGGACAGGTGGGACAGTGCTGGATGTCCGTCGCATGTGGGAATGCAGCGTTGCAGGACTGATTTCTCATACGCAGGTTCTGTTTTCTTTCTTAGATTTTCCTTAGATCACACGTCCTGAAAGGAAAACTAACCCCCAACATCCTTTTTAACCCCTCCATCCCCCCACTTTTGACAATATGTACAATCAAGCTCCTTTACAAAATGCTAATCCTGGCTTTATTCGGCACCCATGTCATTAAAGCTCTAATGAGCTTCCCTAGACATGTATACCAGGGTCTGCTGTCTGGTCAGTGCTGCTCTCTAATCACAGATATTTGCACATCATGGTCAGAGTTGTGTTGGTGGCTGAGAGCTCATGAAGATCTCGACAGGGCCTAGGAATGGTTAGTTACAGGTTTGCGCGCGCCACACGCATGCGGACACGCCCCCACCCCCCTCGCATCTACCTTGACAAGAGCTTGTTAATGCAGATCATTTCTCATCAACGGGGCCCCTCCCCTGAGAAAGAAAGCTCTGCTTGGGTGCGGTCAGAGCATCGCCTACCGCGCTCCAAGAACCACAGTGATCCAGATACCGTTCCCCAGACTAGCTGCAAAGTTCCTCTGTTCCGCTTAAAAAAAGGGATTTAAATGCAGGGCAGCTGGACTTAACTGTAAACAAAATATACGGACAGCCCGTCAGGTGAACTCTCACAGTTCATTCACAGGGACCTGTCATCTTATTTCTAGCTGAAGGATTCAGCCAATATAGAAACCAACAACAATAATAATAATAATAATAATAATAATAATAATAATAATAATAATAATGACGATAACAGTTAGGATCGTCATGACAACAGAAGAAACACTGTGGGACAAGCCCAGCTTCACAGAACACTTCGGCTACGCGACTGACCTGGGACCAGCGTGACAGAGCGCCTCTCCACAGTGACCCTAACACGCCATCCCCCTAGACCATCCTTCACCTTCAGCTCCATCACGGTCTCGCTGGGCCGGGGCCGAGCTCCAGGCCCCACATGCCCCCTTCAGTCTCTCCGCTTTCAGTCCCTCTCAGCAGCCATTGGGGGTGGGGGGTGGGCGGGTGATGGCAGGGGTGTCCATCATCTTTTCACCTTGGCATCCTCCCGGATCTTCCACATCATCAGCTGCATGCAGGCACTGGCGTCCTCACTGGAGTCGTGCCCCTCCACTGGCGAAACGGGGGGGAGAGGGGGGTCCGTGAGTAGGACACACTCCGCTGGGGTTCCTCAGGATGCCACCCCTCCGATGGGGTCACCGTACCACCTGAGGGTCCCCCAGAGACGACAGCATCTCTCCGCGTACCCTACCGTATCAGCCATGCCTCTTCAAGTGATTCAAGTATTACTACAATAACAACAACAACAAATGCCAGCA